AAACTGGACTGAAAACACCAGAGTACAGCTCAGACATCTGTAGATCTGTGGAAACATTGCAGCTGTCTTATCGTGGTTTATCCTTATAATCCAGCATTTTTGGCTAGATCAGCTCCCGATCTCTGATGGAAACATAAAACATGCAGATTCTAATAATTTGATTCAACATAGGATCGTTGCACCATAGAATCACATCACATGTTTTCGGATTGGTAAAAATATCAATTGAAATGTTAAGAGCGTATAAATACTTATTTTTTTTTAAAAATACTTTTGATTCAGGGCCTATCAAAAGGAGGCAAACATAACTCGGTGCTTTTCAGAAAAAAAAAAAAAAGACCAAATAATGCTGGTTGTTTCAGCGTCCCAAACTCTGCAATAAAAACGCTTCAGTGCCGACGTTTTAGCATCACCTGCAGCTGTTTTACGAACCCCAAACACGCTGTGAATTTCCCCCCAGGCCTGATCATCCTTAACGGCTGGTACGGGAAGTTTGTGTCGGACACCAGCCAGAAGCAGGAGAAAGCCAAGGTGATTGACGTCACCGTGCCGCTGCAGTGCCTGGTCAAAGACTCCAAGCTCATCCTCACCGAGGCGTCTAAGGTGAAGCAGATGATGATGGCTCCCCGAGCATCTGTAAATCAGCAGGCGTGCTCTTCGTATGAACGCTGTCTCTGCCCGCAGGCGGGGCTGCCGGGCTTTTACGACCCCTGCGTGGGAGAGGAGAAGAGTCTGAAATTACTCTACCAGTTCAGAGGGGTCATGCATCAAGTCATCTCCGCAGACACGGAGCCACTACGGATACCCAAGCAATGTTAGTACTCATCCACTTTCATCCGTGACGCATAGTAGCTGCATGCTTACATACAGTATTACCGAAGCCTGAAAGCTGAGCATTAAATAATGTTTTTTTTTTTTTCTTTCCCCCAGCTCACAGAACTGAGTCTGAATCCTAGGAGTCCTCTGCTGTTGACGTAGGAGGATAGAACAGACTATGTACGTGGAAGAACCCAAGAGTAAAAAGGATAGATTTTTTTCTAAAAATCCGTTCGTTTCCCTCCTCTAGCTCTCCTCTGTCATGGTATTAGTGAATCTAATTCACAACTCTGTGCTCCTTCCTTTTTCTAAACTCCAGTTTGTTTGTTTTTGGGTGAAATCAGCACCGGGTTTCCCCTGTTGGCTACACCCGATACACCCAGGATCGCTTATCGGTACGCTGCAGGAGAGATGACACCGGCCCAAAGTAGTTTTGTAAGACACAAAAGGACTGATTATTACAGCCAGCCGGACGGCGATTTCCCTCGGTAGCGAATGAAATGTCTGCGGTTTCTCACATCCGTGTTTGTCAGGTGTGAAGGAGCTATAATTTGGTCTCGTATATAATCTTCACTTGTCGCCACGGCAGCTTTTTGAGTCGTGAAACTGTTTGGGTCAACTATGCAGGACGGTGCCTGGGTAACCTTGAGGCCAACCAGGACTTCGCTCACGTTTTTAGATCACACCCATAAAAAGGTCAGCCTTTCTGATTTAGGAGACATTTTACTCCAGCGTTTGCTGCTCGATGAGATGCCAAGTGTAAACTGGTTCTCAAAACGTGAAGGTTTGGAAAGGAGAGGAAAAGGACTGCCTGTTACTACAGAAAAAGTCAAGACTTTTCCTCGTTGATTTCTAACACTCCACGCTGCAGCTCGAAGGCAGAAATCTTGCTCGGATTTGATTTGCGTCAGTATTCATCGATCAGCTCTGCAACCGCAGGGATAAACAAACAAACAAAAAAAAAAAAAAAAAAAAAAAAAAAAAAAAAAAAAAAAACTGTGCTCTCCAGAAAGCCTGAAGTTAATACCAATTCATGCCCATATTTGGTGTATGTAAACTTCTGACCTGCACTGCAGAATGCTGCACAAAGAGAGACGCAGCTTCTTCACTGCTAAACCAGCTGCCGCGTCGGAGCGTTGCGGAGGCCACTTTTATTCGTTTATTTTTTGGACCGTGTACGTGGAGCAGTCGGAGAGGGAGGGGTCTTGCTGGAGTCTTTTAGTGGTTAATTCACACACTAATTAACATCTGCTGTAACTAGTTTTCTCAGCAGAGTGGTACACAATACACTGAACCGCTGATGAATGGGCAAACATTGTAACACTTAAATCCCTAAGTTTTTAATTTCCGCAGCACAATAAAGCTCCCGTTTAAGTCCATTAAATTAGATTTTACTCCCTGTCTGATTGGTGCATCTGTTGGTAGATGGATTGTGCAATAACAAAGAGGTTGTTACTTCTTAGGTGTTTTTTTTTTGTTGTTTTGTTTTTTGGAAGAGGGTGTCCGTGTAATGAACTACGGGGAACCCTAAACTTTATTAAGACCATTAAAATGGAATATAAGCTGAGTTTTATTGAGTATATGGTATATATAAAAGGTTAGATTTTGCACAAAATGTACTATATATCAGGCATTTTGTCCAAATGGTGCTGAAGACCTTAATTGTAGCTGTACACTTTTACTGAAATGCATCAAACAGGTTAAAAACACATGTTCAGATCAATCTGCAAGCCGTTTTGCACTGTTACCGTTGTGTGTTTGTCCCTTTTTGTTGTTTAGGTGTGTAGTAAAAAGGTTTGGTCTGGTCATTTGTTCATTTCTGCCATCGTAAAGGGTGAGCGGAGAGCGCTTTGCTGATTTTACATTCCAGCCTGCGAGCCAAACGGACCGGTGTAAATGTTCTGTTTGTTTGAAAGGAAGATATGTGTTCTGTCCTGCAACGTTAATAAACATGGAATAAAAGCTGATGTCTCATTTGACTGGAGGAGGAATTCAAAGGTAAAGCCGAGTCTGCACGTCAACAATCACAGTCCACATTTTAAACTTTCCAAGACTGTCTTTAGACCACTTTTAAAGTTCAAATAGAAAAGTTCAAGAGAAATTTATGGCAGATATTTCTGCAGGTATCAAAGTTTAGATATGGAACCTGCTAAAACTTTAGAATGGATGGATGACGGTTGGATGAACCAAGGAATAGTGAATCCATAGATGGATGAACAACAGGTATATGAGTCAAGGACGAGTGTGAATTATAGATGAATAAATAATGAACTAAATGAATAGATGGACGTATTAATAAATGGAGTGGTGGATAAATACTGAATACATTGATAAACAGACACAGAATGAATAATGGATCAATTAAATGACAGATGGACAGACAAAAATGATCAATGGCTGTCAGGAAAAAGATGAAAAGAGGGACAGACAGATGCTGGACAAACAGTTGAAGGGACAAGTGGACAGTGGGACGTAAGCAGGTTTCAGATGACAGGACAGGAAACGTATCCCATTTTATCCAGACATGGAAAATGCATCATTTCCATACTTTTCCAGAACACCCAGAGTGCAACATGACACAACAGAAGATCCCTCTGGTTAAAATGGTACCTCTTTATTTACAATAGTTTCACAGAAACAGTTTGCACCACAGTACAGACAACGCTTTCTCAGTAAGGGGATGGGACAATCCGGGGATCAGGATAAGCCAGCGGGATCACAATGAGCAGAATCATGCCTTGAAGACAAGACACTACAATTTGGAATCTGACCCTGAAAACGCCCTTCAGTTTCTCTTTAAAACAAACGCCCCGCGGACCGACGGCGATTCTGGTTTGTAACGTCGCGAAAACAACCCGAGCTCTGCAACCAGCACCAGAAGACGGGGTGCACAGGTAAAACGCATCCAGTTCAAACTCCGTCTGTTCGCAAACAATCGTTTTGTGGTTGCCAGTCGTTCCCCGGTGAAGTTGCTGATGCTGCATTGTTAAATCTCCCCCCCACCCCAATCCTGGATTTGGATCCTAAAATTCCTGCGTCTAAAAATCTGTCTACAATATGGCTTTTTATATAATCGGAAACAATATGTAGTCTACACATACAGGCCCAAACAGCAGATGGCACATAAATAACAAAGCTTAGAACTTTCATCCGAACTGGACCAAGTTGTAGAAGAAAAAAAAAAATTCCCATTAAACTTCTTTTCAAATGAATACTGTAGGAGGCTGAAATCTGCTCTGATTAAAATGCTTAAAAGGCAACACAAATATTTCTTTGCAAATATCCATTTAAAAACAAATCGAGTACAAAAAGAAGAAAAACCACGGAGCTTTAATGGGAATACATAGCAGCACGTGTGTGGCAAACACGCTCGTTCAACCCGACTCTGACCTGCATATTTCTACCCGCAGACTTCAGAGAGCGTCTCCTGCAGAACTCCCGTTTCTCGTTCATTAACTTCAGAACAGGACGGCCTCGCGCTTCTCTTAATCGAGTGTTTTCCCCCACCCCATCGTGAAACTTTGATGGCGTAAACGAAGGAAAGACACGAACCAAACTGAATCCTGCTACAGAATGCGCCAAAGTTACACTGACCAGAATGAACTGAAGAACTTCTGTAGTGAACGCCGCGATTCTTCTGTTATCTGGCTTTTTAACTTGTTCAAATACAGTTTATTGTAAAAGAGATTTTAAAAAAAACAAACAAAAAAAAACAGTTTAAACACTGAAAAACATAGCTTGACGTTGCTGAATATACAGATGCATCTCAATAAATAAAAAGAGCTCAGAAGTCCATTTTAAAATTGAAAATAGTTTTATGTTTTAGGCTTTTTTTTTTTTTTGCTGTCAACTCAGTGGTTATCTAACCAATCATCTCTAATTCAGTTTTTTCATAAAATTTGAGTATTCCATAAGAGCAATCAACGACTTGTCAGTACTGAAGCAGAGAGTTGCTAACTCTTTTCATAAAGAGCACAGGGCACCAAGAAGATAGATGTTTAAAAACTGCTATTTCCCAAAGATAATCTAAAGTTGAGCTGAAGGAAGAAATCTGGTATGAAAAATGTGCAGCTTTAAGAGGACAGTTTAGTTTCACTGAGCAGCCTAATGAATTTAAGGTTTTAATTAGCTGCAAGCTGTAATATGCTTCAAATCTATTGTGTTTGCAATGAATTTAAATGAAATATTTTCAAATTGAGTTATGGAAAAAAAACCTTTTGCTCATATTCCAGTTTGATGCGATGAACCTGTATAGTCAACAAACGTCTAGATTCAGCGGCAGGAAGACGAGCTTGTAAAGAAGCCGCACTTGGGTTGGATCGTCGCTCCGAGATAGTCTTTAACGAGGTCTTAAATATGGAAAAACGAGGAGTATCAAAACGGATAAAGCAGATGCAGACCTTAGTAGTTGAACCTACATCTTTGTTCTACAGGATTATACCTCAGCTTAATATTATAGCACCATCTCAAGCAAATGACAAGGCTTTTCTTGTTTAAAAAAAAAAAAAAAAATGGTACATGGTGTAACAGCGAAGCCATCCTAGAGAAAACAAATCCAGTTTAATCTGAAAGACGTACATGTTTCTGTGTCTACCTTCTGATAGGTTTAAAAAAAAAAAAAAAAGAAACAGTGAGGAAAAATTGCAAACTATTTCTCCCACAAATCCCAGCATGCACCAAGGTGGGTGGCAGTTGTGAAGATATTCTCTACATATGGCAGTTCAAACGTTTCCAGTGTACCAAGTCTCAACATTGATAGTTTGATGCTTTTCTGATGCCCTCTACAGACAGGTATCCATTCAGTGATTGCCTTACGCACAAAGTCTGGAGGAAGCAGAAACGGAGCCCGATAACTCTAAAACAGCAATCAAACCATCTATAGATGGGATAAGGCCTGGGGGAAAGAGTTCCACCAAAGTGTTTTGTTTAGAAAATGTGGGTTCCTGGTTGGCCGTGAGGAGGTCAGGTCCAGCTGGGTAAACCGAGGGGGAGGAGGGTTTTAGAGTTCATGATCTGACCAAGAGTCAGTCTAGCAGATGTTTACGTGAGCCGATGCGCGAGCGGTGGGAGCGCCGGGCATCTGGGGGTCCGTATGTGTCTCGGCAGCTTTGGCATACGTATGTCTCTGGCACGTGGCTCTTGCGAATTTTGGCGCAGGACAGGTGGATCCAGGTGTTGCACTTGTTACATTCGATCATGGCTCGGCCCGCGAAGGGCTTCATGCAGAAGCACGTCACCAAGTCCCACGAGTCGTCGTCTGAAAGACACAACAAGGTCGGAGAGTTTCCTTTTAGTTAAACCGTCAAACGGTGATATTAGCGTTTCGTAGCGCAACGGGATCTTACCGGAGTCCACCATTATGTCCTCGTCCTCTCCTGAGCCGTCTTCGTCTCGGAACACCACCTGCTTCCCCTGGCGGAACACGGTTCGGTTTCCTGAAAAGCCCTCCACCTTCTGTACCTTTACGACCCCCTCTTCCAGGTCTCGACCGTCCCAGTGTCGATGTTCCTCCTTTGGCTCCTCCTTGCAGGGCGAAGTGCTGGGCAGGCACGCAGGGATGAGGGGAATGCTGAACTCATCTTCGGGCTCTTCTTTGATTAGTCGGCTGCCGAAGGACAGAGGGGACTGAAACTCTGGTTCTGCTCCGTGGGTCGGCTGGGCCCTCGATTCCTCACCGGAGTGATACTCCCTCTCCTTTCGCCTCTTCTTCTTCTTCTTCAGCTTCTCAGCTTTTCTGTGGTCGTCTGGATGCAGGGTGGAGATTGTACGCTGCAGAGAAAGCAAAGTTCATATAGCAAACTGACTGAACAAAGAAGTCAAATTATGTGTTGACGGTTGAAGCTTACGTCTCGCTTGCTATGAGAGGACAGCAAAGGCGCCGGCTGTGGACGCTTCCTGCTTCTGTCTTGGGGCACCTTGGGCGGCCGCTGGGGGCAGGAGGCTCCGGGTCCGGGGGTCCAGCCATCGCTGTCGGCAGTGCTGCCTGTGCTGTTGGGAGGACTGGAGCTACTGCGAAGTGGAGAGTCCTGGAAAAGGAAACCAGTGATGTTCAGTCAAAACTAGAAACAGCCTAACAAATCGGCTATTGACCGGAAACCGGATGATTTTTAGCTCCACAGAACGGCTGGAAATCCCAGAAATGCTAGATTTTTTTTTTTTGTCCTGGTTAGTGAATGCAATTGTTCTGCATTGGCGTTGTTACTGAATCAGCCAGTGAAGCTGTTTATAAATGAAGTCAATTGAAACACAGAGCCGCAAGAAGCTGTTTTAAAGTAAACAATTTACTACAACATGTTGAGAGAGTGAGACCTTTAGCAGAAAACAAGAAGACTTGTAAAAAAATAACTGAGGTTACAACACAGCTGTGTTGCATTTTAATACAACAATCATTTCACTAGAACAAATTACGTAAAGGATGAATGAAGCTCAATGAATGGTTCGGTGTAAATGTGAGAACAGTAGTGCTAGTTGAGGTGACCGTTTCAAAACAAGCAAATAAAACAAAGAATGACAGGAAGCAGCGTAGCCATGTGTAAAACCAGTAGCGGTCTACATGTCAAAAACAGACTTTTGGGCAGGAAGTGCAAAAGGCTGCTCTACACACTTGGACCAAGATAAACTACAGGCCCAAAGGAACCTGTTTGACATGATGCCATTGTGTTTCAGTCTTACGTACCGAAACACAGAATTATGTTAGCCGAGAGGAACTCGGCACTCTTATTCTGTTTTCCATTAAACATAATTTGAGAACAGAAAATTGAAGCAGGTCAAAAATCTTAAAGTTTGAAACGGACTTTTCTGAACAAATAAAACCAAAACCGGGGTTTCTGCAAGTTTCAGTAACACATTCGGAAGTATTTTGGAGACTTCTATAATTTCAATTTAAGATCTACATTAATTACAAAACAGCATGAGCAACTTACTCGTCTTTTTTCTATCTACAATGACCCCAATACACCATTGTAGAAATCTGAGATTAAAATCACAATACAGTGACAAAAGTTCCCCTGGGAGACAGTTGAGAGGAAGTTCTCCATGTTCTGAAATACCAGCTCCCTTATAGGAGATTTATTGATGGTGCTTTGAGCCAAAAACTGGGTAATACTTTGTAATATTAATGCCAAGGCAGGGCATATTAAGGTTATTGGTATTGAACAGTTTTGGGAGGAATATAATTTGGATGCCCTACATTCCACACTCTTGTAGAAACTAAAAAGGTTTCTTCTAACTTGCCCTACTTTATAGGGCTGGCGTACATAAATATTTGCCCACTTGCTTATTTTTTTCCAACTTCAACCCCTTTTGCACAACATGCCATTTAGTTATTAACGACATGTTTCAGACAACTAACAAAATTCCTGCATTCTAAAAAAAAAAAAGACACACACATATCACAAGACCAAACATTTCAGATCTTAATAAATGTTTGATTTCTTAAGACATGAAATGTTTGATTTCTTAAGACATGAAATGTTTGATTTCAAAACATTTTTTAAACCAGCTACAGTAGTTGTTTCAGGGGTTGAATTATTTTGCAGGTTCACATGAAAGACTGAAGAATCAGTCATAAATAACCTTCTGACAGCGTGCCATTAATCATGGGGCTTGTTTTGTCACAGTGTAACCACATCCAAATTCCTCAGCAAAAACTACAACACTCAAAACAAATGAATCCTGCAACTGAACATGCTAGAAAACAAAAATAATGGAAGAAGAGATTAATGGGTAAATGAAGGAGTTTAAGGACTACATTTTAAATGATTACATTTTCGAGGTGCAGCAAACTATTGCCCAGAGATCAGAATCAAAGGACATTTTTGATTGGCAAATTAAAAACAAAAAGCAATTGCTTAGAAACTAAGAACCGCTATCATTCCTAGTCTATAAATGATACCAAAAATCATATACTTTGATGCACTTTTCAAAGATTAGTAAAATAAGTAAAAGTTTGGAACATGGGTTTTGATTCGTATCTTGTAATTCATTGATTTAGTGTTGGATTAAAACCTATTATAGCTATCAAGGAATCTATAGCGTATTTTATGTCTTACAAAAATAAAAACTAAAGTCTAAATCAACATTGAGAGATCTAACATCAGAGAAAACCACCAAATGGTATCAGCTAGAAAAATCCTGACTAATGCAAACAATTACCCATTTTCATCTTTGTGTTCAAACAGATCTACTTTTTGTTCTAGTGGAATTCAATGAAGTGTGTATGCATAGATGAACATAAATGATCTTTGAATAATTGAACAGTTTTGTAAATGTACTCTGAGATTAAATAGTTTTGATATGATATCTAAAAGTATATTCCTCTTATTTAGTGTAATACTTTGTTTTTTTATCTGTTTACATGTAAAAATAAAGAGATATATAATAATAATAATAATAAAAAAACATTAAAAAATGCACAAACTATTAAGTTCTGTTTAGGCCACAGTAAGTGTTTTGACCACCTACCTCTTGTGGGTATGGGATGTAACCGGCATAAGCCAACACAAACGTGCAAAACTTGTTAAAATCTTCCACTGTCCTCCTCCTCCTGTACGGCGGGCTGAAACCCTAACAAAGACACAAAACCATGTTGTTGAAACCTGCACATCAACAGCCTCAACATGGCGATGATGACATTAACGAGAAGTGACCGCCTGTGCACCATCCACACAGTGTGCAAACTAACAAGAGTTGGCACTGCGCCATGACCAAAGACTGGATGTAATAATATCATCAAAATCTCGACAGTCACGAAGTAAAGTGAAATCGATTACACTCAAATCATTGTGAGGACGTTATCTGGCGACCAACCCCCACCGATAAACCCCAACTACAAACTAACAGCTAGGGCTAGCTGCTGTGGCTAGTGGTAAACAGCCGTTGCTAAGAGGCTAGCGACAACTCGGATAAGCTGCCGAAAACACACAACGACGCATCAAACTAACTTCACCCTATAAACAGTGTCCGTCTAAGCTAATGAAAACATGTATATTTACAAACTGTTAGCTGACGACAAAGCTAGGTTGTTTGACAGTTCATGTTAGCCAGCGTTGCTTTTAGCATCCCCCGCTATGATGATGGAATGTGTTCTTTTCGACGAAACTCCGGGTTGGCGAGCATTACCATGTCACAAAGCCCCGCTTGAATTAGCAGAAACGACGTATTAAGCAAATGGAACAACAACTTCCGAGTACAGACATATAAACATTCCTTCATGTTCAGCGTGTGCAACTTTAAGCACTATGACAACATGAGCATAGCAGGCTAACATCGGCTGTGGCGTGTGGTGACAAACCTAAATCAACTTGAACACTGCTAGCCGTGACAGAAAACTACTCACTGGGATACCGTTACATAAATCACTCACCTCCGGCTGAAATGCATGGGATGTCGATGGGTTTATGTCACCCATCTCTGCAGAGAATCCGACCACTCGACGTGTTATAGGTAAGCTCCACACAAGCTACAAAAGCGGGTACCTCGGTGGGATCGTAAACGCTTATTTAGCTTCTGCTCGCTCGATGCCAACTGCTAACTAACGTTACCTGTGCTAAGACTCGAAGCAACAGTGTTACCTCAGGTTGACATCACAAACATTACTTTTACTGGCAATAGTTAACTAAATAGTCGGCAAAAACACGGAAAAGTGTGACAATTAAATGAAACCAAACGTTGCTACACTTTTTCCCTCAACGGAGCTATTCAGTGAGGTCGTGGTTTGATCCCGTTTACCGACTCTTCAGCGGTCCACTTCTGCTGTCACTTGCAGCCTCCCTCCCCACTTTCTTCTCTTTCTTCGGCCAAGTGTTAGCGCCCTCTGCTGGGCGCCAGCGTGAGTTGTTCCTGGAGCTAAATGAATCAGAGGTTCGTCTTATTCTGTACATTTACATTTTAAAAAAAGCATTAAATTCAATCTTTGTTTTAGTGCTGAGTCCTGGCCGTGTGTAACTATCATATCCCGTACTTTCTTCTTTACATTTAAGATTGTATTTACAGAACACTTCCTAGTTTTGCTGTCAAAAATAGCACACGAAAAGTTGTGAAAAATCCTACCTTCAGTTTGATCAAATTTATTATGTGGGTAAAAATCCCAAATAATAATAAAAAAAGCAGATTTATTAAGATTATCAGTACCACAACAAGAGGCATCATCTGGAGCTGCTAGATGTAAGGTAAGGTCACTGCTTATATCTAGGGTTGGTTATTTATTTATTTATTTATTTATTTATTTATTTATTTATTTATTTATACGTATAATAATTTACTTTAAGAGACTGGCTTTATTGTCAGTGGGTCTGAGATTGAAAAATACTGCCTGACAATGGGAAAATGGGAACTACATGTTTTTGGCACAACAGGAACTTCATTACCTGTTATTATGAAGAATTTATTATATAATTTGATGTTTTAAAGTCTTCTTGCGTACATTGTGTTTTTCTGAAATGACATTTTGGTGAAATAAAATGTGTGCAATATTTACGACATAAAACAGTGTGTTCACTTATTCACTCATAGGACAAATATTGCAAAATAATTTGAAAAATTTCTATTATTGTTGTTGAAGAATGAATCATTATTATGATGCTAATATCATCCTTAATATAAGGAAATTGCATTTATACCTTAAGCTCATCATGGTGTTTCTTCTGAGTGCACAGCGCCGTTTTTCCTGCAGAGGGCGGTAGTGAATCCGATTCAACACCAATCCATTGCAATCCCCATAGCGTCCGACATCTTTCCATTTCCGGTTGATAAGTAGTATTCTTACTAGGCAGCAGTCGTGCTAATGTTTACAAATTAACATCGTTTAAGATGGAGAACGTGAGACTTCAGGGTTTTAGGACGTTTTTGACTGAACACTTCACCGCGCTGGCCGTGGAGGTGTTCGGTGAGGTTGAGAGCATGATGGAGGCTTGCTACGAAGAAAACAAACGACTCAGGAACATGCTGCACATGGTGCTGACCCCTGAAATAAAGTTAACCAGAATAGGTTCGTGCTTTAAAATGTTTGCAATGTCTACTAACCTTGCTTTGTTTCTTCAGTCTTAAATCGATCACAGAAGCTGATTGGCATAACTTTAATAGTGGTGATGGAAATCAGGAAAGAGTTCAGAGTTCCTGCCCATATTTAAACGAAGCAATTTTCTGGTTTGGATAGGTTTAGAAAACAATATTTGTATTTTCGAGCTTAATTCCACATCCTATTGTGTAAATGTTGTCCCCATATGCATCCATTCAGCCATCTTACTCTTTATCTTCTGTCTATCCATTCATCCCTCTATCCATCTTTTATTCTAACATTTCCATTTTGCACAGTAACATTTGTTGATTTGTGTGTGTACCTGAAAACAATAATTACGAAGAAATGTTTTTGGGTGTACCATTGGGAAATCACAAAATGGGTTATTTGGTCCAAGAGGGTTATTTGTTTCTGTTGGTTAATGGTCATGGTATTTGATTCTTTAAGTAAGGTACAAGATGTAAAGTCAACTAATATGTACGTTTCTTTGTTCTTTCTAAATGATAGATGCTAATTTGTACAGAGAAACACCCCAAATTACTGGAAAGCAACTTTTGGAGCAAAACACAACACTGGGCTTTGAAACTGCAGAGCCGTTGAATAAAAGACCTAAAGAAGAGACGATTGAATATGAAATTAGCTATGAGACGGAACAACAACAATGGCCGGCAGAAGAGGAAAACGCCTTTCTAGTTACCGTAAAAGATGATCCAGAAGATGAAGAGGGAAAAACAACCTGCGTCACAGAGACGCCCAGAGAAGCGGCTGTGCAGCAGCAGGACTCTTCTGCCACCATCTCGGCTTACGACAATTTGAGCGAACAGGAAGGCTGGTCGTCCCCGGGGTCAGATGAAGCTGCACATGCACCATTGCAAGTAAACAAAGACGGAATGAATGTCAACCAGCAAATAAATCCTGAAACTACAAGTAAAAATGTAAGTGTGGCAAACTTCTCCCCTAAATCTAAAGCTTTTTGGTTAGTAAATTACGTTGCACTGGATAGGCGGGCATGCATAGCCAAACATATGGTCATATATGCGTCATTACTGTTTGTGAAAATTATTGATCATGATTATTTTAATTATTATTATTACTATTATTATTATTATTAGTTATCTGCTTGTGAAATGCACAGACATTAGCGCCACCGATCACACAGAGTGCAATGTCTTGTTAAAGAACTAGTTCAACCCATTTACATTTTCATGGCAATAAAATAATGTTTATTTTTTGCTTTTCTTTTTTTCTATATTGAAAGGAGTCAAAGTTCTCCCAACAGAAGACAATACTACAAATGCCAAGGTAAGATTTTATTTCCTGCTTTATGCTTCCATTTTTTTAAATAATTTTTACCTTCAGTATTTCAGTAATTTTGCTCGTAACACCTTTTTTCAGGATGATGCTCCCCAAGTCTCTTACGCTTTCCCGAGATGACCAACAGTCCTTTATAGACAGGCTTACTGAAGCGTTTAGTGATTTCCCTGACGACCAGAAGCCCCTGATAACCACAGTGGGCCTAAAACTTGATGGGGAATGGACAGAGTGTGCTTTCGGTGAAGTCCCTAAAGGCTCCCCCATTTCCTACCAATGCCCGCTGCCATCCAGTCAGGATTTCAAGCCTCATTACGATGCCCCCTCTCAACCGTTGCTTCCCCTGTCCCATCACACGCTGGAGCCAGAGACCGTCTTTCCTACGCTCAGTGCTCAAGAGCAGACATTCGTAAATGCCATGAATGTCACCTGGGAGGAAGCGCACAGCCTGGAGGAAAGCACCAGAGGAAATATGGAGGCTGCAGATCAGCAACTGAAGATGCGTCTCACCGGCCGATTTAGAGACATCTGCAACCTGAAGCCAGGACGGAGCCACGCAGAACACCTCCTGTTCAAGATTCAGAAAGGAAAGCCGCGGTGCAAGACTGCGCAGATCGACGTGGAAATGAAGCCGGAAGCTCTTCGGGAATACTGCCGGCATTTGTGCGTCAACTGGTCGCCTTGCGGTTTGGTTGTCCACCCAAATGCGCCGTGGTTGGGAGCGATGCCTGACGGGTTGGTGTACGACCCCAAAGAGACAAGCAGCTTTGGGCTGGTGCACGTCCAGTTCCTCAACGTCAAGAGCTTCATAGAGTGTTCATTTCTGGCCTGTAAGAACGGAGCGTTGCTGGTAAAGAGAGCCCACCGCCATTACTGGCACGTGCAAGGAGAGATGCTGGTGACGGGCACGCCATGGTGTGATCTAGTGCTGTACGCCAGGGAAGACATGCTGGTCCAGCGGATCTACCGCGATGAGGTTTTCATCAAACTGATGAAAAAGAAGCTGGAAGAATTCTTCTTCTATCATTATCTGCCTAACCTGATTTAAGTTTGATGTGACAAAATGAATCTTATGTTTGCAGCATCTCAGGGCTTTTGTTGGACAGACGTTTTTCACTACAACTTCAAAGTATATCAAGTAATCTATCCCCGAATGGCAATGGAAATGTTATTACATCATATGTGATTAAAAGGCTTTGAGTCTAAAGCGATATTCACAGTAAGCTGTGGTTTGGCCAAATCACAAACAAGATATTTCTATTCAGCTAAGCCGATTTAGGAGGAGTAGCTCAATTTTGCCTGTTCTAGTGAATATTTGAAAAGCTGTGGTGAGAAATAAAAATATTGTACACAGTTCTCTGTAGGCCTTTTGTTACCATGTTGCGTATTAATTTCAGGAGCTGTAACTCTAAAACCAGTGTTGTTTCAGGTACTGGTTACTTTGTTTTTGGCAGATTAAAAATTGTTGTCTTTTCAAACTGACCATCCGGGGAAGCGGGGGGAAGTTTGTATTTCTTTTCTTTTCTTTTTTTTTACTTTCAAAATTTGCTAAAATTCAGAAGAAAATAAATAAACATTTGTTTCGTGATTAATTTTCTCAATTTTTGGAAGTTGGATTGTTCAGAATTAAAGTTGCTTTTAAATCTTGTATTATTTCTCATCAGTCTAATGGCTCATTTGATCAAGTTTCCTTTGCAGTCTATGAAGTAGATACGTTTCTGGTAAACGTGTCCGACAGTTAGCTTGTTTACTAATTCATTGTACCGTCTTAGTGTTGTATTTTTCCTCTGAATGTAATAGTAAACCTTTGCAGTTTTACATTAAAATGAGGGAAATGGATTAAGAAGCGTTCTAGCTCAAGTCTGGAAATGTTTGGTCAAGAGTTCAGAGTAAGAACCCAGTGTTATGGTTAAACTTTTAAATCTCAGATTTAATAAACACCTGTTAATGGCGTACTGAGCCTTTCCATTCAGTCAGCTGGAGGTTTAGACCTGGTCTAAAACACGAGTTCATTCTTTGACTTTTCATTTCACTTGCCAGGTTAAGCAGCAATTTTTAGATCCTCAAAAGTTTAAAACACTTCAAAACTAAAATATTGGCAAATTCACTTTTTTTTTTCTTCTTGCCTTTTGTCGCAGCTTGAGTTCTCACAGTAAATCCCAAATTATCAAGTGAGAATTTAGTTTGAAATTGAAAACTGGCAACACGTTTTTTGATCGATGTGACCACTGACTGAAAAGATAAGGCACCAGGATTAACCAAGCCTGGCTGTTTGAACTTGTCTGGAGCATGCTAGCTGCTCAGAATAAATCACCAAGGTAACTCATGTGCTACTGCTTTTGTGAAACTGAATCAAGGCTTAATTCAAATGGCTGTTTTGAGCTAAATCTTGATTAAAGATCTACAAGATTACCATTTTAGAGTGGCGAGCCCAACACATGGACTTAACACCTGTGAGATGACATCAAACATGCCGTATCTTCTGCAAAAACAAAAATAAAAATTGAGTAATTAGTTTCCCAACATCTATTCACAAACGATGAAATCTGGCTGACTCCGTTAAACACAGATGTGAAGCAAGTCTCGGAAGCTTTCATATTAAACAAGTGCAAGGAGTTTGTGTTTTACTCACTCGCTGTTGTTATTTTAAACACAACCACTTCCTAATATACGAGTGCAACATAATAACAGTCCTGATCTTTAATTTACAGCGGACCTTCTTCCTTTTCACCAATTTTCTCCAGACGCTCCAGGTGCAAGAAAAAGACGGTGAAATATTGCTGTATTTGTCCGGTAGAGGGCGCTGTACTCAATAATGAGGTAAACACTCGCAGGTTACTTTGCTGCTGGGTTTTGGGAAGTTTTTTTTTTTTGTTTTTCCCCCCCCCCCCCACTGGAAATGATGCGTCATGTTTTAGAATCGGCGTAGTCACAACTATTAGTCAGCAGATCAGCGAGTTATTTTGTGCTGACGGCTCTGCGTGTGACTGACTGAGGGAGGGGGGAGTGTGTGCAGGCTGACCGGATGCAGTTGTTTTGAAATCATCAGCTGTGTCCTCCGAGGTACAGCTCGACTCTGCTGCTTGAGTCTGCACCGAGCAGCCGCCTCCGGTTAAGTCCCACGATGCCGATCAATAAGACCCGCGTCAGTGTCGCCTACTCTTCGCTCGGTGTGATCCTGGGGGTCTCTGCCTTCCTGGTGTGGAACATCGTGTACAAACAGCAGTGGACCGGGGCCATGGGGGGTCTGTCAGGTGATGTAACACTTTCCAAATGTACACTCTGGCAACAAGGGACGCGTTTTGTTTTTTACTGCGTCCTGGCTGCTTCTTACTAAGTGTCCCTGCGTGTATTAGAGGTCACAGTTCAAATGTCATGAAGGTTAAAACCCTCCCAGTTAAACCCATGAAGGCTGATGCATTATTGCTTTTACGTTAAAATGAATGTTTGCTCTTTAAAAAGATTAAATGACACTTTATGTTGGGGCGGGGGGGGGGGGGGTTTTTGAAGGGGGGGGGGGGGATCCCTCCTTTTTTAATCAGNTGGGGGTGGGGTGGTCATGAAGCGGTGCGGGAGTATCTCTCATTTTATAATCAGGGGTTCAAAGTTCACTTTAGTGTCTGTTAGACCATATCTACAGATTCAGCGTTTTGGAACTGGGTTGTTCTTGCAGCACGGTGCGACATGCAAAAGTGTATTAGATTAAACGACAGAAATCTCAAGTACATGACAGGTAAAAGTAATAAATGGTGCAGCAAGAGTTGAATATAACGTGCTTTAATTTCAAGAACTTAATCCCATTCAATTATGGTCATATGTTTTGAGTTTAAGGTATGCCTTTTTATATTCCTGCATTTATCAGTTTTGTTTCTTGATTTATTTATTTATTTTTTTATCATTTGGCTTATGACTATGGATTGTATTTCAGTGCTGTGCATTTATCAAGCTAACATTTACATCCATATGGATCTATTACCATAGATCTGGATATAAAGGACTCTGGTAGTCCTATCTCTACAGGACTAGTTCATATCTATTACCTTTGCACCCATTTAGTCCGGGCATGTCCTGTAACAACTTCAAATGATGTTATTGTTGCATTTTTTTTTTTTAAAGATTAAATTGTGGGAAATTACTGCTAAAATGTCCACCTTTACAGGGAGGTCAGAACAGTTCCCGCTCCTGTAGGGCAGACTAAGTGAAATTTGTTGACTCATGAAAAAGTCTATTTTCTTCTTCAAGCGATAATGACTAACCAAACTTAGCTGAACAACTTTGTAATGATTTGCCAAAATCAGATCCAACGTTTTTTTCATGTTAGCATCACTGCCAACATTGCACATTGTAGTCAATATTTGTTGATAACGTGCGTTTTAAATAGATTTTCTTAATTTATTAACTGCCACTTAATTTAATAGAAACAATAGAGTCAAATTTATAATGTGCTGATTTTTTTTATTTTTTATTTTTTTGGGAGACACAAAAGATATCAGTGACATTGAATACATCCAGCTGTTGTTGAATAAAAGATAATGATGTTCAGGCTGTAGAGTCTCAGTCTGTGTATGAAGTTGGTGTTATTAGGTGAAGGTCATCGGGTGAATTATCTCCCAGTGGGGATCTAAACTAACTATTCAGAGTTTACCTGTACTTTGGTTTGTACTTAGTCGATTAAAAAGGCACTTATTTCCTTTTGGTGTGTAACGGTTTC